GTCTTAGGGGTGGATTGTTGGTCCTATGGCAGAAAGAAGTGGGGATTGAACAAATTCTGAGCAATCAATTTTGCATACAAATTCAAGTAGCATGTAAAAGAGAAGTAGAGGATATGTGGGTGACTTTTTTGTATGCCAGTACTGACAAACGAGAGAGATTATTGCAATGGAAGTTCTTGGAGGATGCCAGTCAAACTTGGGGCAGTAAATGGATATTGGGAGGGGACTGGAACGATATTTGTGATGCTAGTGAAAATAGGGGAGGTAGAATCAAAGCTGCCAGAGAATTCATTGAATTTAATGAGTTCATATCTCGTATGGGAATGCATGAGCTGCAGCTAACTGGCCATAATTTTACTTGGGGTAATAACAGGGATGCAGAAGGCTTCATTGAAGAGAGAATTGATAAAATATTTGTATCATTTGACTGGCTAGTGGATCATCAGCATGTTGTTGTAGAGAATGTTTATAAAAGTGCCTCTGACCATAGGTTGTTGCTCTTGAATGACTCTCCTATCCACCAAAGCAAGAAAAGTAAACGCTTTTTCTTTGACAATAGATGGCTTAAAAGACAGGGACTCCTAGATGTTGTGAAACAAGGATGGTCCAGTGTGCAATCTGGTACTCCCATGTTCCAGGTTTCAGAGAAAATTAAGGCTACAAGAGTAGCCCTGCTGAAATGGAGCTCAACATTCAGGAGGGAGCAAATTGTGGAGAAGACATTAATCTCAGTAACATTAGAGCACATGAGTACTCTTGGCATCAATAGAGACTGTGGAGAATGGGACAGACTGGAGATTAGCTAAACAGAATTACAAAGGAAGAAGAAGTGTTCTAGGCTCAGAAGGCTAGATCACAATGGCTCAAAGTTGGGGATACCAATACCAAATACTTCTATGCTATTACTATGCAAAGGAGGAAGTTGAATACTATCTCAAGCTTAGTTGATGAGGCTAACAAGACTTGGTCTTCTGTGGAGGAGATTGAAATCATATCTGCCATTTTTATGAGCAATTGTTTACATCAGAAGGATCTGTTAGTGATGCAGCACTCCCCCAACCTCATCCCAAAGTCAATTACTTCAGACATGAATGATTCTCTCATTGCCTCCATTTCAGTTGATGAGACCAGATCTGCTTTGTTCAGTCTTGAACCTGAGAAAGCTCCAGGCCAAGATGGAATGAGTCCAGTCTTCTTTCAAAAGTTTTGGGATGTTATTTCTGATGATTTTTGTAAGGCAGTACTTAGCTTTTTTGAATCTGGGAAGCTTCTTAAGAGCTGGAATCACACTGTGATCTATTTAATTCCTAAATGCCCAAATCAAGAGAATCTAAAGCAGTACAGACTTATTAGCTTATGTGGGGTGGCTTACAGAGTGATTGCCAATATCATATCCCTCAGAATTAAGCCTTGTTTATCCTCTTGTATCAGTGAGAATCAATCATCATTCATCCCAGGCAGACAACTATTGGACGACATTGTTATTGCTCATGAAAGTGTTCATTTTCTTAATAGGAATGTTTCAGGGAAGAAATGCTATATGCTGCTTAAGCTTGACATGGAGAAAGCCTTCGACCGCATTGAATGGGAATGTGTCAAGAAAGTGATGTTGCAGATGGGGTTCCATGTAGTTTTTGTAAATTGGATCTAGGCTTGCATATCTTCTTCCACCTTTTCTTTCAATATAAATGGTGAGCTTAAAGGTTAGATCTCAGCTTTTCGAGGCATCAGACAAGGTGATCCCTTATCACCATACATTTTCATTGTTATATCTGAGGTATTGTCAAGACTGCTTAAAGATGAAGAAAGGAAAGGTGCCTTCAGAGGTTTGAAAATTGCCAAACTTAGCTCTGATGTTTCTCATTTAATGTTTGCTGATGAGACATTGATTATGTGTTAAGCCTCTGAAATCACACCAGGGTTCTTAAGTCTCTGTTGCTCAAGTACCAACTTTTCACAGGCTAGAAAGTTAACCCTGGCAAATCTTAGTAGAAACTGTCAGCCTGCTTTGAGGACTATTATTTGCAATCTGCTAGGGGAAATTCAATCTCATAGGTCTACAAGGTATCTTGGATTACCCCTAGGGATTGGGAAATCCAAGAAGGAGTCTTTTGATTTTATTCTACAGGCTGTGAGAGGGAAAGTGGTAACTGGAAAAATCAATTCCTCTCTGATGCAGGTAAGGAGGTTCTAATGAAAGTTGTGCTAGGTGCCCTTCATGTTTTTTCCATGTCATGCTTTTGCCTTCTAAAGGTGTGTGTCAGGAAATTGCTAGAATGTCTACATATTTTTGGTGGAATAAGGGGGATATGCACTCTGGTCTTCATTGAAAAAAGTGGGCAAACTTAACTCTGCCAAAATCTATTGGTGGGCTGGGAATTAGAGATGTGCTCTTGTTTAATGAATATCTTATCCTCAAGCAACTATGGAGATTAGTCACCCACCCAAATTTGTTGGTCACTAGAGTTCTAAAAGGAAAATACTCTCAAGACTGCTCTATCCTGCAAGCTAAAAGGCCTTACAACATGTCTTGGTTGTGGAGCAACGGGATGGGTGTCAAGGACAAATTCAAGCAGCATTTTAGAGTGGTGGTCAGATAAGGTAGAAATGATAATATTTGGAATGACCCATGGCTGCATGGAAAAGAGGATGGCTTACCTACCAGAACCTAAGTGGGAATGAGCATAGTGATTTGGGTTTCTGAGCTCCTACAAGAAGATGGGAAAAGCTGGAATAGGGAATTACTGGAGGTTTGTTTTCAGCAACAAGATGTTAATGAGATTCTGAAGATCTGTTCTTTAGATCCCCTATTGCCTGATAAATAGATCTGGATGTTGGACCCCTAAAGGTAAATTTTCTGTTGCTAGCTCTTATTCCCATCTAATTCTGAACAAACTCTTGGATTTGGATGTTGCTGACGGTAGTGATTATGCTTTGAAAGATAAGGCTCTGAGAAATAGAAACTGGAAACTGAGAGTAAAACACAAGCTTAAACACTTCATTTGGAAGTGTTGTAACAACACTCTCCCAGTCTGTTTGAATTTGAAGAAGAGAGGGCTTGAGGTGGATCCTAGATGCTAGGTCTGTGGTGAGGACTTGGAGTCAATTGAACCTATTCTGCTATACTGTGAGAGAGCACAAAGGATTTGAAAATTAGCCCCAGTTCAATGGACCACTGCTACTTCACACACTTTCAGACACTGGTGGGGTAATGTTTGCTCTGTGGACAAAAAGGATATCTCTGAAGCTAGAATTGAGCTGACTACATACATTTTATGGTGGTTGTGAAAGGCTCGTAACCTATAGAAATTCCAGTCCTTGTGGCTACCAGATTCTGTTATTCTCAAGGCAGCTCAAAATGATTGGATGGAGTTTAAAGCTTGCAGGCAGGGGTCTGAGTAGCAGGGTTGAAGCTGATTGTCACTAGGTCCATTTATGGTTCAGTAGTGACTATCTTAGTTCCCGTTCTTTGTTATTTTCAACCCTGATTGTCACTAGGTCCATTTATGGTTCAGTAGTGACTATCTTAGTTCCTGTTCTTTGTTATTTCTTTGTCCTGCTGTTTGTTTTCCAGTCACTTTGTATTAGTTTAGCCTCCAGTTTATATCTGTACATTTTTATGTTGAATGAATGCCTATAGTTTTGAAAAAAAATAAAAAAAATAAAAAAAAAAAATCAACCCGTAGACAAGTAAAAAATAAATAAATAAATAAATAAATAAAAGGACAACGAGTCCCCGGATTAGAGTTTATCATTCTGTCCAACGATATATCTGGCGTGAAATACATATTCTTCCCAAGCCCAACAAATCACATAATTTCATTTCAAACCGAGCAACTCATAAATTGGGACAAATTACACAAAATTTCATTTTAAACCATTGCATTGCAGATCATATTAATACAATAATTACAAACAACTTATATATTTAACACATAACAATGCTTCCTCGAGCATTGGCGTAGTTTGTTGGCTAACCAATAACCATACTCTTGCTATGGTCCATTTGAATATTACTATTCCCTTCACTAGACAAGCACGAGCCAGAGATGATATTAAGGCATTCATGGTGAAGTGCAATGAGAAAAAGATCAACATTCACTGCTCTTACAAGATCACATAACAATAATACATCTATCAGTTAAACTAGAAGATATAATTTGGATCTCAATGCAAATAGAACATCTTTACATTAAACCATACAGAGACCTCCACGGCTTCATCAAAGAGCCGATGATCAGATTTCTTCTCAACCTAGCAGAGTAGGCCTATGCTTGTTAACTTGATATGCACACATAATAATTCCATACAAATTCTAACAGACACATGAACTTCACAACATCTTATGTAAGGGTGCAGCTTCATATCATCCCACGGTGGTGTTGACATTGAAAAGAGCAGATGGTATCTGAAGAGAGAGAGAGAGAGAGAGAGAGAGAGAGAGAGAGAGAGAGAGTTACATTGTTACTCGAAGTGGTATTTACATTACACACAGATGACAGAACACCAGAACATAATGAAAGATTTATATGGGAGATAGTGAACAATTTTATTTTATTTAATTTTATTTTTA